GGAGGACTGCATCCATACATCTCTGCAATGACTCAAATCTCTTAATAATAGTTATCTGGAATGTCAAAGAAAGCGTTCTTGCAGGACTCTTAGAGTTTATCAAGCTCCTTTGGATTTATCTTTAATGCTTCCTCCATCTTACCCCAGACATGCTCAATAATGTTCATGTCTGGTGAATGGGCTGGCCAATCCTGGAGCACCTTGACCCTCTTTGCTTTCAGGAATTGTTTGGGGCCCCGGCTGCTCCATACCAGGCCACACTTAGTCTGACCTGTCACCTTTTGCCTTGGGAGACCCTACCATTAGCCCCCGACAACATGGCTCTTAGGATAACTCAGGCACTCAAACTCCTCCACCACGATAAGGTGGTGGTTCATGGAGGAGTTGGAGGAAAGTCCTTACTCAAGGTGGAGGAGTTCAAGTATATTGGGGTTTTGTTCAGGTGTGAGGGAAGGATGAAACGTGAGATTGACTAGCAGATTGGTGCAGCGGCAGCAGTATTGCAGTTGATATACCGGTCTGTTGTGGTGAAGAAGCTGAGCCGAAAGGCAAAGCTTTCGATTTAACGGTCAATCTATGTTTCTACGTTCACCTATGGTCATGAGCTTTGGGTCATGACTGAAAGGACAAGATCTCGGATACAAGCGGCCGAAATGAGTTTAATTCGCAGGGTGGCAGGGCGCACTCTTATGTTCAGTGTGAGTAGCTCTGACACCCAGGAGGAGCGCCACATCAAGAGAAGTCAGCTGAGGTGGCTCGAGCATCTGTTTTGGATGCTTCCTAGACACCTATCAAGGGAGGTGTTCCAGGCATGTTCCACTGGAAGAAGGCCTCGGGGGAGACCCAGGACTTGCTGGAGGGACTATGTCCCTCGACTGACCTGGGAACACCTCTGGTTCCCTCGGAGGAGCTGGAGGAAGTGTCTGGGGAGAGGGAAGGCTAGGGTTCTCTCCTGAGACTGATGCCCCTGCGACCCGGCTCCGCATAAGCTGTAGAAAATGAATCAATAAATGAAGGAATTAAGTTAACTTATTTATTTTTTACTGATTTGAGTGGATTGAACATAAAACAATCAAGTTGTCTCAATAAAAAAAAAAAAACAGAAGTTGTCGCAAAAACTCAATTGTGTTGTTTCAGCTCATTTTAAATAAGTAGTCTGGACAAACAGTACGTCATTCTTTTATGAGTGTGAGGCTTTCTTGTTCAATATGGAAATTGACATCTCCCTCATTAGTTATACTTTAATTAATCAATTACTTTTTTTTAATTGGAAGCATGCTTATCATCTAATGTGTTTGTATGATTGTCTTAAAAGCATGTTTATATTTATTATTTTTATTAACCCATCCAGCCAAGTAATTGAAAGAGATTTCATCCAGCCCAGAATTTCAATTTGCATGTAAATAGTTTGAAGAAATCTAATGACGCCGGTGTTGATTTGCATGTCTGGTATGCAGTACACACTTTAAGACCCATTCACCAGGGGAATATTCTGACAGGCAGCAGGAGCAGAAAGTGTTTGTGCGTGTGTGTGTGTGTGTGTGTGTGTGTGTGTGTGTGTGTGTTAGTGTTCATGCATGTGTGTGAGTGCGTGTGTGCACTTTTCTCTAGGCCAGTGCTGTGCCATCGCTAAACTGTCCTCCCCCAGATGCTATTTATAGTAACTAGAGTCTTCCTCGGAGACATCAGCAAAGAAGAAATGCATCTATAATTAAACCAAGCCTCTCTCTCTTTCTTACACACGCTCTTCCACACACACAGTCCTTTACTTCCCGTCTTTTTATCTTCTCTTGACATTTATTTAATGTCTTTTTCCTCAGCTGGTGATTATTTGTTCTTACCGCAGACCCATTTTATTCCCGGTCCAAGAAAAATCCACAAACAAATAGCATAGTGTTACCATGGTGGTGTTTGGATATGGTGCCACTCTGGAATTTTGGCCATCTTTCCCTTCAACTAGCCTGTCATTCCTTCCAAACAGGCTGGCATTCCTAAGTACTTTAAATATCATAGACACAATATATACATATGGTAAATGGGACTATGGTATATGTTCAGCTAGTTGCCATAAAAACATCTCAGGTTTACATTTAGTTTAAAGAGCGCCTATTATGCATTATAAAAGGTCATATTTTGGTTTTGGGGGTCTCAAACAACAGGCTGATATGCATGCAAGGTCAAAAACACTTTCATTGTCTTATCTGCATTTATTTTTACCTAATTATCCCAGCAACTCCCATATGATTTCTTCAGCAATTTGTTCCCCAACCCCTCTTTTGCCGTGCGCAGATGGGCCAAGTGACCCAGTCTGTTGTGATTAGTCGACTGGGTTGAGTGTGAGACCAATAGAAACACCTACCACGACTATTAAGTAGCACACATGTTAGAGCCCAATGCAGGAGTGCATTAAAGCAATGCCGTCTAACACCAGCATATACTCTACTCTTAATACTAATCACAAGTAATAACAATAGAACACATTCAGTATTTATTCACACAGTAGCAAAGCTGGATAATTTAGAAAATTGACCGCCGCTCATGTGACGAACAGCAGATGGTGGCCATAGCAATGACAAACAGCAAAGGATCACAATTTCTGAAACGCATTTTAATCTGTTAAGGAAGAAGCGTGTGTGGGTTTTCAATGTGGTTTTAGACGTGATTCACCTTATTCGTTGTGTACGAGTAGGCACAGCCATTTGAATCTTTTTGGCTCGAGACTTCCAGTCCCATTCATTTTTAGACGTTAAAAACAGCTCGTTCTGCTGCTTGATGTTGCAAACTTATATTTTCCTATTATATGATACGGCTTTGTCTGTTTGATCATTTTCTGCCATTTATTATTCCCAGTCATTTCTCACAGGCGACTGAATCGGAAGTTCTTAAACTATCGCAAAAACGAGCGCACTTCCACTTAGAATAAGGTCATTATGTGAACGTATTATTAAATACAAATTTTTAAATACAAATAAATACAAATTTTGCAAACTACACAAAATGAGGCAACACTTTTAATGACACTTACATGTGATTTCGAAGGAAGAAGAAACTGCTTCATATGAACTGTAACAGTTACTGTCAAAGTCTGACAAAGTCCCATACATAAGTCTCTGCTGCTCCTTACTCTAATAGCAAACAGCAGATGAATCACGAGCTGCAGCGTAGGTTATTGTATCAAAAATCCAGCCTAATCTCATGAGGAGATGTAAGTATTTTACGTTTTGTCAGTTTAGTGGCTAATTCATACAAGTTCAGTCTTATGAAAATGTTAGATTTTAAAAAATATGCGTATGTATGCATCATTGGGTGATGAGCAAATCGTACTTGTTGTACGAATTAGATTTTACGAATTAGCCTCTAATTTAAAAAGTGACGAATTGCTGTGGGATTGCGTTGCAAATATCAGAAAAATTACAGGAACAAACACAGGACACGGTTGACTTTACTGTGGTATTGTTGTGAAAATAAACTTTAACCCTTTATTCCCCTCAGCCGAATCTCCATCTGTCAGTGATCATCATCTTTGTGTCATGACCATTCCTGTGATTCCCCCGTGCTCCGCTAGTGTCTAAAGATAAAAGCGCGTTCACGTTTTACCGGATCCGATTCTAAATATTTGATGATGTACTGTATTGATGTTCACGCATCAGGTAAAAGATCCGAACCCAACCTGATTCATTTATTAGACTCTGAGTCGACTATTTCGCTAAAGAATCAATAGTTTTAAACATGCTGCACTTTCGGATTTAAACCTTAGCTGGATGTTTTCATTCACTCAGTGTTATGTTGCACACTGCATGGAAGCTCTTTTTCACACACATAATATGGGCTCTTTAAATTAATGTACTAAAATACCCTCCCCACACAGCCCCTCACCACAAAACAAACCAAAAAAAATAAAAAAAATACTGTCCAAAAAGCTTAAAAACATGATGTACGTTTTTAAATTTTATTAAAATGGCAAATCAATCATTTAAAAATACTAAAACTTTTAAACTTGATTACTAATTTACAGAACAAACCGAAGAAGTGATCAGTTATAAGCTTTATACTTTATTTAGAATGAAAATATTCAGTTGAAGTCAAAGTGATTCGCCCTCCAGTGAATTTTTTTCTTTTTCAAATATTTCCCAAACAATGATTAACAGGGCAAGGAATTTTCCCACAGTATTTCCTATAATATTTTTTCTTCTGGTTAAAATATCATTTGTTTTATTTGAGCTTGAATAAAAGTCAGTAAGTTGGCATTTCTGTGTGGAGTTTGCATGCTCTCCCCATGTTCGTGTAGGTTTCCCCCACCGTCCAAAGATGGGCGGTACAGGTGAATTGAGTAAGCTAAATTGGCCATAGTGTATGTGTGTAAATGCAAGAGTGTTTGGGTGTTTCCCAGTGTTGGGTTGTGGCTGTAAGGGCATCCGCTGCAAAAATTAAATGCTGGATAAGTTGGTGGTTCATTCCGCTGTGATTAATAAAGGGACTAAGCGGAAAAGAAAATAAATGAATGAATAAAATGGCAAATCAATCAATAGTTTAACATTTCCACCTGTTGGGAATAAGAATTTGGCCTTCCTCCAAATCATTGAGAGGTCACATTCCTGCTCTGTACAGTTCCACCTCCTTCTGTTCTGACATGTCCTTGTCTAGTTCTGCTCTATGAAGTGCAACCGCCAGAACTAGTTTAATCCACACTGCTGATCTACAGGTTTCAGACCCCAAAGCCATGCGACTGTACTCTGATCTAACGTCTGAATCAACACTCGTCCTCCTATCCATATTTGTCTGCTAGAGGAACATTTAGCTGATATTTTGTGAGGTTCATGTTTGTGAATTTACGACCTTTATCTTCATCAATAACACAAAATGCTTTCCAGATGATGGAAATGTTCTGTACACTTGGAAATGTTATGGAAATTCATTGCTGTTGGCTGTAGTTGTTGTTTGGTTTTATTAATAATAATAAAACATAGTAATCTAACATGACGTTTTTTTTCTCTCCGCAGCTCTTATATTCCTCTTTTATTTGGTCTTCTATGGCTTTCTGGCGGGAATGTTCACGCTTACCATGTGGGTGATGCTACAGACACTGGATGACCATACTCCCAAATACAGGGACCGAGTGGCCAATCCAGGTAAAAAAAAAAAAAAAAAAATACACTGGTAATTTTTATTGTTGTCATCATCATTACAGGGTGCAACAATTGCACTAACAACAAGACTGTAGTAGTGCATTGAACTCTATTTAATTTACCCATCACGTTTTTAATTTCAGAGTTTGTTTGGCACTATCAATAATTGTATTTCTTTCCTTCTTTTTTTAAGATATGTACTGTAAACAGTTTTTGGGGGTACTTTTTGCATAAAAATCCTACCAATTCCTTAATGCAGTTTTGCTTATTCTCGCCAAATTAGAATTGTCATAATTTAACAATACTGTAAAATAAATTCATAAATTAGCAGTTTTTCATGTTTTGTGATTCATGTCTTTAATTTTTTACTTTTCCTTGTTTATTTCTGCTTTTAAATTGCATTATGGGACCTTAATCTTTCACCCAACAACTTTTAACCTTTGAAAGTGGCTTTTGTACACTGAAAATTTTTTCAGGACACTTTTTGTACCTTTGAAAGTGTCCCCAGGGAGTCCCGACCCCCACTTTGGGAACCACTGCAATAGATCACTTTAAACTATTACAATAGTTTAAAGTGATCTATTGCAGTGGTTCCCAAAGTGGGGGTCGGGACTCCCTGGGGACACTCGCATTTAAAGTACCGTTTGGGGACCTTCTGATTTTCACAGAGGCAAAACAAACACAGACGCAGCGGAGAAAGACTGCACTTGCATGGACATCAGTAACGGAATGATTTGCCAAATTTTTAATTTGTTGACTTTAACTGCAGTTTGCCACTTTCATTCAGGAACATTTCATGCATGCCCTCGTGACAAATGAGATGCAGGGTTCGAGGAACTGCTGGAAGAGTGTAGTTTTAATGGAAAGTTTGTTACCACATGCCAAATGGGAGATAAAAACTTCCACATTTCTCTGTAACTTAGATGCACTCAGTAGGTAGCGTTAGAAAGCCGTAAAGACTATCCTTTCATAGAATGTGGCGAAAATCCTACACAACGGTAATGGTTTGATTAAAGACTGATGTGGTGCTTTACATTTAGTGTGAAGCTAGTATTATAATAAAAGTCCTTCATCTCATATATTGACTATAAACTACATCTCCCATAATGCATGTCTGTTTTGAGACCCAGCACAAAATGATTCATTTTTCTTTTTAAAACATGACAATGGCAGTGTTTGTAATTGCATACTTCCATACTAGTACGTTAAAATCAGTGTGCGAGCCGAGTAGTATGTCCGAATTCATAGAATTCGAAAATCAGTTTGCGAGAAGTACCCGGATGACCAATACTTCCGGCGAGATTCTGAAGTGCGCACTGTACGGACGCTATGCTATCCCATGGTGATACTGATGTACATGTGATTTATTTATTTATTTTTTTGTTCTTTATTTTTTATAAATTTGCAACAATTTAAAAAAAGCTTTTTCACATTGTCATTATGGGGTTTTCTGTGTAGAATTTTAAGGAAATAAATTAATTTGATTTAAAAAAAAAAAAAAAAAAAAAGTGAAAAAAAGTGAAGCGCTATAAACACTTTCCGGATACACTGTAGAACGTACTTTTCTAATGGGCGAGTAGTACATTTAAGTTCAAATGCAGTACCTACTGAGTAGTAGGCGGTTTCAGACGCAGCCAGTGTTTTGTAAAAAGGTAATAACTTGTGTTTGATCTTTGGTATTCACTTTAACGGAGTAATTTGGATTCATGTTAAGATAACCTAAGGAGTCGGCGTCAGTGGTGTAGTGGTTAGGGCATCGACACATGCACTCCGGTGCTCACGGTGACCCGAGTTCGATTCCGCCTCGTGGTCCTATGCCGATCCTTACCTTCTCTCTGCTTCCCATGCTTTGCCATCAATTCCCTCTACTTTCCTATCCTATAAAGGTGAAAACCTCGAAAAAAAAAAAAAAAGAGAGAAAACCTAAGGAATTAACATTTAATTTTACATTAATGCAAATACATGTATTATTTATCATTTCATTATGCTATAATGAAATAGAGATAATTCTTATTTTATTAAATCAATATTAACATAATTAATATAACATATCTCAAGGAGTAGTAAGATTTATACAATCTTACAGTTATAACCGGCCATTTGAAAGTGTGTTGGACTCCCCTGCTCTACATGTTTCCACAGAATCAGCAGTAATATATGATGCAGTGGTGTGTCTAAACCTTTAATGAGACTCTCCTGTGAGAAGATGCTTTGTTTAATTATTCATTACAGCACGTTGTGTCGGTCTAAGAACTCATTCACACTGAACTATGCTTCTATGAATGCGAGATGCGCAAAAATCACAACATAAAGCATAAGGATATCCGGACACGGCCACTGAGTGCCTTTAAACAGAACCTCCAGAAATCTCAGAGTTCTTCTGATTGGTCCACTGCTTTGGAACTAACAGTGATGAGCAGCTCTGCGTGTAAAATCAAAGTGCTTTAACTCGAACGGCGTCTAAAAAAATTTGTGATAACGGTCATACACATCTGTCAAATGTATATTGTGAACGGTCCCAACAAGATTGCATTCATGAATAGGCCTCTTATACACCTGGTAAAAGTGGCGCTAGGTGCGACAAGTGTTTCTTTGCTCATTTCACGACTCTAAAGGTGTGCTGAGAAATTACCAGTGCTAAATGGTGGGGCATTGTGTCCCTTTAAACTGCTTATAAACATATAAAGCAATAATATGTCTTCAGAACACTTGGATTAAACCATCTGAATTTAACTTAAATTGTATGTAATAAAGGGTTATTTTTAATGTATTCAAGGAAGATTTATTGGAAAATGTACAGGAGAGGAATATAAAACAATCGATGAAAGGTTTTAGTTGCTTGTAGACATGCAGTACCTGCCTTTTAGTCTGTTAAAGTGAATCAGTCTATCGCATCAATGCTGTGAAACACAGAGTCACAGCATATTTGTTAATTCTGCAATTCACATCTCTGTGAACCACAATGTTTGTGAAATTCCTCACGCTTGCAACACTCTATTTAGTTTCTGTCTTTACGCTTTCTCAGAGTTTGTGAATATGATTTTTTAACTCTCAGCCTCTAGCTCTATGTGAATATAAATATTGTGGGTAGTTTACAGTTTATGGCTATTATAAATAAACGTGTGTGTTGGTATACTGTTTTGTGTGTGTGTATATATATATATATATATATATGTATATATATATATATATATATATATATATATATATATATATATATATATATATATATATAATATTTATAATGCATTTTTATGTTTGCTTATAGTGCTATATAAATATGCTGATTGTTATGGTTATACTCGGATGATTCAGAAATAGGTTTTTAATGCATTGTGTAAATCCAAATGTCTCCCCTTTTAAGACTTATTGATCTGCTCATGTAATTACTTCAGAGACGTCTTTTGGGATTTCTAAACCCTTTTATGAACAGCATTTTGATCTGTTTAAATAACACAGAGAGTAATGAAATAGACATGATTTGCAGTAGAGATGCCATTTAGCTGATGTGATTTTATTCCGTACTATTTTTACCATTTTCTCCATCCATTAAACTCCTACACAGACAAACACACACACACATATACAGCCCACACACTTGTGTACAGTGGTTGAGATGAGAGCGCTCCAATTCTGTCCTCTTGCTCAATTATGAGCGCTGTTAAACTCGGCAAAGTGAGATACAGCTCACAGGTCTCTCTCTCTCTCTCGCTATCATTCATCCATCCCCAAGTGTCAATTTATTCCTCCCACTGATCTCTCCTTTTCCTCCCTCCCTGAGCTGCCCCCACCTTTCCTGAGATCTTTTAGTAACAGAGTGTTCTCAGAACAGACACAGTTGGACATCATTTCAGACAAGCTGCAGTTTCGTGTCTCCAGTTATCAGTGCATTAAATGTTTCAAAGCAAGATTTTAAGGCACATGTTAATCAGCATGACTGCACATCGATTATGACCTGAAGATGATACAATGAGCACACATGCATCAAATTTAGATTTGAGAAAGTTAGGAAGTTTTTAAGAGCGATGAAACCTTCAACTTTCCATCTAAAATCTTGGCTAGTAACCTCCACTAATAGAAAAACAGGTTTTGCTAGCACTTATATTTCTATTATCAGTGTTAATTTGTATAATGAATATCTGCTTGGCGTATTTTGTCCACAGGGCTGATGATCAGGCCAAGGTCCTTGGATATTGCATTTAACCGATCTATTCCTCAGCAATACAGCAAGTATGTGCAGCATCTGGAGGCCTTCCTGCAGAGTGAGTCTTTTAATTTGTTTCACCTTAACGCTGTTTATTGTGCTCTGTATTGGTACAAAAGTGATTGTAATCATCTGGAAGCACCTGGTCCTATCCTAATCAGTAGAGATCAGTCATTCAAGACCAGATTTGGAGTTAAGACCCAACTCTGCTAAGCACCTGGCTCCTGAAAACCCCAAACCGTTTGAGGTTGAGACCAAAGTTAGGCCTTCCTAAATATATTGACCAACAAAGATTCAGAACAGCACTAAATTCTCATAACACCAGAGCTGAGACATGTAAGAGGCATGACCCAATCCAGTATACCTTTCAAGGTCCAGACCGACTAAAACCCATTAAAAATGCAATATAAAAAGCATTACCAGACCTTCCAGGACAGAGTCCAATTTTAGGCCTTTCAAAGACTCGATACTAGATTTTTCTAATATATATTTCTAATACCCAGACATGTCATGGCCAAAAACTCCAACACTCCAATCAGCGCCTGCCCAAAACCCAAATCAATAGGACCAACACAAGACCTCCTTAATATCTAGGCCAGTGGTCACCAACCCTGTTTCCAGAGAGCTACCTTCCTGCAGATTCTACTTCAGGTCCTATTAATTGTGTCAGGTGTGATTGATCAGGGTTGGAACTGAATTCTGCTGGAAGTTAGCTCTCCTGCAACAGGATTGGAAATCTGTGATCTAGGCCATCTGAAGATGCTTTTCCACTACATGGCATAATGTGGTTTGATATTGCTCATTTTAGGAGCTTTTCCATTGCGTTTCATACCTAGTATCTGGTATTTTTTTAGTACCACCTAGGATGAGGTTCCAAGCAAGCTTTACCTTTTTAAGCTGTTTCCTTTTTTATTTTTTATTATCAAATCATCACATATGCACATTGCTGATTACCGATTGGTCCGAGAGAATTGTCACTACCAGAGTGACTATTAGCATGAGAGAGTCCACATGGTTTGTGTTTCACGATTGTTTATGCTGAGCAAAACCAGACCGAACTATGCCATACTGTGCAGTGAAAAAGCATCTTAAGATGTAAAACAAACCTAGATTACCTATCAGCCAACTCGAGATCTAAACCTGTATACCTCTGAAGAACCAGACTTGGACCAATAGCAGACTGCAAAAAACACAAGCCAATGTCAAACCTTTCAAGGCACAGGATAATATTAGGCCTTTGTAGGAACAAGTGTAGATCTTCTAGTACCCAGACAAGTCATTGCCAGACCTTCTAAGAGAGTACCAGACTGAAACCCAATCCAGGGCTCGAACTTTCAAGACAGTCCAATATCAGGCCTCCCCAATACCAAGACCCATCTAACTTCCAATGTAAAACCTGGACCAGAGCAAGCGATGGTTTAAACCGCAACCCATTATTGGCCTTCCAAGGACTAGCAAAACAAGACGAGATCAAATCCAGAAAATGAGCAAACAGTCCATTTTAAGAGGCCAAGAAGCCGTTCAGAGCTACGACACTTATGAAAACACTATAGGTAAGATACCCTCTAGTACAAATTAGACCAAAATCTGAGACCACATCTCTAGGACTGAGCCCATCTAAATTCCAATGTAAGCCCTAGACCAGAGAAAGAGATGGTCTAAACCCCAATGCATTATTGGCCTTCCAAGGACTAGACCCAGACCAAAACAAAACAAGATAAAATTCGGTCAATGAGCAAACAGTTCAGGCCAAAAAGCCATTCAGAGCCAGCACACTCATAGGGATGAGGTACAATCTCCTACAAATGAGACAAAGTACAAATAAGACCAAAATCCAAGACTAGATGTCTGGGACTGAGCTTTTACATCCAGACCAAAGCTATATGTATGTGACGTTATGAGCTATCAAGGGCACAGTTTAAAAATTCTGTCTATTTTCAGGACCAGCAAACATCATTTATGTCTGGAAGGTGATAGGCAAAACAAATTTAGTTCAAGGCAAGTTTACTAACATGGGAGTATTTCTATCTCTGTTGCTCATCAAGGTCAGATTTTGGCCAAGCAACAGCTCTAGTCGGGAGAAGTGGATAGTGAATCAGATATCTTGCATGACAACAAGAGGAATTAAATTACACTGTATAACATTATAAAAGATTATACTAATTATATTCAGTAGTGGTATTAATCTATAATATTTTGTATTCATCATTTTGTGTGTCTCAATACATGAAACCTCGTGTGTACGCTCTGATCAGATTCTTGGAATGTGATCAACATAATAATGCCAGTTTTAATGGATACATTTACTTCAATTATATAATTGTCACTTATGCAAATTGTTAGTAGCTTTATGTTATTACTAGAGTATTATTGCTATTAGTAGATTACTAATAAATAAATGAGCAAGCAATTAGAACAGAGTCTTGTAGGTCTATGATAGGACTGTGTGTATATGCTTTTAAGTATATACGCATGCATACACACACAAGCACAAAGCTGTGAATCAGGAGTGACCAAACTCGGTCCTGGAGGGCCAGTGTCCTGCAAAGTTAAATTCCAACCCCGATTAGACACACCTGCTTCAGGTTTTTTCTAGATATACTAGTACAGGGGTCACCTAGGCTGCATCCGAAATTGCATACTTCCATAATATATTGTATGCTTATATCAGTTTGCGAGCCGAGTAGTATGTCTGAATTCATAGAATTCGAAAGTCAGTATGTAAAAAGCACCTGGATGACCTGCTACTTCCAGTGAGATTCTGAAGTGTGCATCCTATAGATGCTACGCTATCCCATGATGAATTCATGAATGGAAGAAGTGACTCAACTGATGCGGGTAGGTCATGTGATCATGACAAAATGGCGAATGTAGGACATCTGATTTCCAATCATACTGTATAGAACATACTTTTCTAATGGCCAAGTAATATGTTTAAATTCAAATGCAGTACCAACTGAGTAGTAGCCGGTTTTGGACGCAGCCCGACTCTATTCCTGGGGATCGACCTTCCTGCAGATTTCAGTTGCAACCCTGACCAAACACACCTGTCTGTAATTATCAAATGCAGTTCAGGTCCTAATTAATTGGTTCAGGTGTGATTGATCAGGGTTGGAGCTGAACTCTTCAGGAATGTAGAGCTCCAGGAACAGTTTGTGACCTCTGTACTAGAAACTTCCAGGCAGGTGTATAGAAGGAAGTAGGAGCTAAACTATGCAGGACACCGGCCCTCCAGAACTGAGTTTGGGCACCCCTGCTGTAAATCAGGGGTTCTCAACTGGTTTAGCCATGGGACCCACATGTTTACATGGTCATCAAGCCGCGACCCAAAATTACAAATTTAGGAATTATAATTAATTTGTATTTATTTGTTAACATAAACAAGTAGTGACAGACACATCATAAGAAATGCACCTAGACTTACAAATAAACAATAATTTATTGCTGTCATTTAACAAAATGGATCAAATTATCGAAATATTACAAAGTAAACACGACAAATACAGTTAATAATAAACTGTTAATAAAACATGTTTTCTGGTTTCTAAATGTTGTTTTAATTTAGAAGGTTTCATGCTCTCTTATGAGAGCACCTCACTACATATCACACTGAGGCTTTAAGTCTTTTTTGTCGTCAATATATATATTCATACTTTACATATTCGGGGTCATACTTGCGATTCGGCAAATTTGTTGCAACAGTTAAATGAAATTTCACTTGTCGAACTGTATGGTTGTTGCACACGCATTACAAAATAAAAGTCCAGTATAAGCAAAATAAGTAAAAACTTTTACTTTTGTTTTTTTTTGACCACTCCGCGACCCACTGAAAATGTTCCCGCGACCCACTTTTGGGTCGTGACCCACCAGTTGAGAACGCTGCTGTAAATCATAAAGCAAGAAACACTTTCTGACTATGTTCAATATCAGTAAATAAATGCTATTCAATGAGTATATATTGAAGCTTTGACCTCTCCTACATCAACTTTGGAAATTCTCCAACACTGGATTATGTTGTTCTTTTTAGGCTTTATTTGGAATATTTCAAGACTTTTAAAATAGCCACACTTTTAAACCTCTTACGCACAAATTTTTTTAACAACTGTTAACAATTTCTAGCTCAACAATGTCCTGACTATCTATTTCTTCTATTTTCTTACTACAGGCTACAATGACAGTCTGCAGGAAGCAAATGAGCCCTGTCAGGAGGGGATGTACTTTGAGCAAGACGATGTTGAGGAAAAGAAGGTTTGCCAGTTCAAGAGAAGTCAGTTACGACAGTGCTCTGGACTGAGTGATACCACTTTTGGTTATTCGGAGGGCAACCCTTGCATCATAGTCAAGATGAATCGAGTGAGTCGTGTTTTTACCTCTCTCCTCAGGGAAAGTCATTTACTGTTTAAACCGCAGGCTAGCTGTTAGCATATGTTGTTCTGACTGATTTAGCCATGGTGCCCATGCAAGGACACAAAGGGTGTACTCGCACCTGACAGGTTTTATTCAATTAAAAAAGTCTAGTGTGAACGCACTGTTAGTGCAGTTCATAAGTGTGAACCGTGCCAACCGGACACTGGATGGCAAAACAAGCCACGGACACAAACAAAAAAAGAGGAACAATGAGTTTTAGTCTGCTTTCAAATTAACTCTGTTCAACTTGAATATGACAGCAAAAAATAGGAGTGGTATTACAAGTATTACAATGGTGCATTAAAAAGCACATGCAATTATATAGCATATATAGACAATATGTACACGCATATGCACAATGACTAGCTGCTTCCCAAATGGCACACTATGCACAATGTACTTATGCACTTACACACTCAACAGGATAGTATATGTATGTAGTGTCGTCCCAAATGGCACACTTATGTTTTTTTACTAAGCGGAAATTCAAACCGTTTCCCTGATGATGTTTGACAGTTGCCAAATCAGTGAAATAAACGACCGAATTATCAGATAATACCTGCCGTGAGTATAACCCCATTCACCATCGGGAGGCGCTATAATCACTCTTGTAGAAGAGATTTTTGCTTTCACCATCCAAAATAAATAAAGTTATCCAACATGTGCGTCCGATAGCTCCACCCCTTCCGCTACGTAGGCAAACCTACGGTCATTGAGTGCGTGAAGTGTCCATCATTCCACACTTCATTTTAGCGGCTAAATGAGTGCATCATCCGGGTAATTAAAGTGCTCTTATTATTTTTAGAGTTTTCAGTGTGAACGCACTACTTACACTATTTATACTACAAAATGGCGTAGAATAGTGCATAAGTATGCGATTTGGGACGCAGCTAGTGAGTTCAGATTTTTGGTAGGGATGCACCAAAATGAAAATTCTTGGCCGAAAACTGAAAAAGAGGAAAGGAAGACCGAAAACCAAAACACCAAAAGAACTTATGCCAATTATTAGCGCCATTTCATTTATGGCTATGGCTGTGTACTAACCTTACTGCAATCAAGGCATTAACAGTTGCATCAATGAATATTAACCACTTAAACTCTGCTGCTATTTGGGGATTTCCGCCTGGATTTTGCCTACCCAAATTTAAAAGCTTCCCAAATCCACATGCAGAGCTGTAAATGCAAAAATTTGGTTTCATTTTAAAGAAAACCCTTTGAATTTTCATAAAACACTATTGAAAGTGTTTAAAATAACTGTATATGTCGTCTGTGTTATAATAAACACCTAAAAAAGAGGCGCTTTTTGTATTTTTTTTTTTATAAACTCAAATGTGAAAGTGTACCTTTTAGGTTCTGTGTGGTCTAGCGTGCTGTAATTAATTTTGGTGGTTCCTGCACATGTCTGTAATCATAGGAAAAAAGAAAAATGTCTCTACCATAATCTATGCAAAAGTTATTGTATTCCAACTGATGAGAGGTGCTGTACAAGCCACAGAGACCAATCCTTGTTTACATATTTCACTATTCTTTTGTTTGATCAAACATAATTCCCTGTGTTTGGACCACATCAGACATATAAAAGGATTACTTATGCACATCACCTCAAAAACAGAGGAGAATGGCCCTGAAGCACACAGCATAGGGTAAGAGATGACTGCTGTCTGTGCTATCTGGGGCTGCTTATTGATCATGAATGCATCGTTTACATTTCTGTGCCATGGAAACAACACAATTCATTCAACAACTGTTTGCATATGAATATAATTCAGTAAAAAGAATGCCAGAACTGTATGAGCACCGGCAAGAGCTTTCATTTGAGCTATTACTTGTCCATGTATCATATGAAAAATATGAAAATGAACCAATGTAAAATACCTAGCTCAGGTATCCAAAATACTGTGTTTTTAAGTGTAAATAACTTTTAAACAGTAAAATAAAAACCAAAGTGATGCATATGTGCATAAAATATAGATTCTACACTTTCAAATGTCACCACTTACGGGGGTCTGGTGCAACGCTAGCCCTTTAAATCTGAAAGCGAAAGTCGATGATGTCACGGACCCGGTACCGGGTCTGCAGAGTTTGAGTGGTTAAAGTTTAAAAATTAAATAAAATGTTAATTTAGTTTATTTTGTGGATCCTATATTTTACTATAAAACAGCAGCTACCTCTCTGCAACTCTCACATGGCCGCCCTCTGAAGCTAAGCAGGACTGCAACCGGTCAGGTCCTGGATGGGAGACCACATGGGATAGCTAGGATGCTGCCGGAAGAGGTGTTCGAGAGGCCAGCATGGTCTGTGTGGGTCCCAACACCCCAGTATAGTGAAGCTCAGGGAGCGCCATCTTTCAGATGAGACAAAACAGAGCTCTCGACTCTCTGTGGTCATTAAAAAGTAGGGGTTAAACCCCGGGATTCTGGCCAAATTTTCCCACTGGTTTCACATGGCCTCCTAACCGTCCCAAAACCATAATTGGCTTCATCACTCGGTCTCCTCTCCACAAATCAGCTGCTGCACACTGGTGGTGGATGAGGAGATTCCCTTCAATGTGACTTTGAGTGTCCAGAACAGCACTATATAAATGTTAGGAATAATAATAATTATTATTATTATTATAAAACTATAGTTAATTTTGTGATTACTATGGTTTCATTACAAAAGACATATTTTAACTATGATTACTAATAGTAAAAACATGGTTAATTGTAACAAGGGTGACAGTTAAGAAGTTTGTTGCAACGCTCTAAATGAAATCCCTTCAGGAACTTTTTTTTTACCCACCCTTTACTGAAATTACTGAAGAACTTTCAATGGTCTCTCTCTCCTGCATAGTCTCTCTGCGGGTTCTTCGCATCCATTGCAATCTGGATTATTTTGCATGCACGCTGCTTTATTTCCGCATGCAATAATGTTTATGTTACGGATCGAGCACAGTCGCAATGACATGCAGAGTTTTGCATAGATGGAATAGACACACCATGTGCCGTTCAGACAAGCACGTCCAGGCAGCGGTTATCTGTTTGCGGTCATCACCACGTACTGTTTCAGCTGTGTTGTTTCAGTAATAACCATCTTTCCGAAAAAGGAAAGCATATTTGGTGCATCCCTAATTTTTGATGGATTGTATTGCAAGATATAAATCAGGTTTTATAACTTCCTCGTGCATTGTGTTCAGTGTTAAAAATGTCTTCGTAAGTGTTCTGCAGACCATGACTAAATGTATAATTAGCGTTTTGCATGGGATCAAATAAACCAATAGAAATGAATTGGAAGTGCGAGCACTATTAAAATCTTCTAATTCTGTCTGCATGGAATTCTTGTCCAAACTGAAATCCATAAGATCAAGATTTCTGCACATCAACTGATGGTATAATTGAGTCATATCCAAGAATATTTGTTCATTGTACCTGTTTCTTGTTGTTTACAGGTTATCGGGCTTAAGCCGCGAGGAGACCCACATATTGCCTGCACAGTAAAGGTAATTCCCACATCAGATGTTGTACTCTCGAGTACTTCAGCGTCAGAATGAGTGTGAAATGACAGTGCCAGTCTGAATTAATGTGTGTGAGTGTTTCCATCTTGCGTTTTTCACACATCTGTTTGTATCTGGTCTCTCTCCACGCTGCCTATAGGGCCAGCAGTTTTAATGGTGGGTAAGATGTCGGGCCCCAGCCCCCCCATTGTTTCCCCAGGGTCCTTGCCCCGGGCCTTTTCCATCTCTTTGCTGCCTCTCTCCTGTACTGCTTTGTCTCTGGTGCTTTCAACTGCCCTCATTCTAGAAATGATGTATACCTTCAGATCCCCAGCCATTGATCATTGTAGCACATCGTGTCTTGGTAGGAAAACCATAGTGGTGAGCCACCCCTAACGCCCCGTTTACTCCTGATATCCTCCTGATTACTCCTGAAGTCAGAATTATTATGCTGAAGTATTAGCCCCCCTGTACGTCACCCAAAAAAATGCCATGCTCTGTTAAAGAACATTTAGCAAATATTTGAAAAAGAAACAATATATATCACAGGGGGCTCATACTTTTGACTTGAAAATTATACTAGGGGTATTGCAAATGAAATGGCAGAATGGTCTAAATGGTTCATTATCAGGCCCAGTAAAATGTTTCCATTCTGTCAACCGTTTTCTCTGAATGGTAAAATATTGAGATTTTAAAACACGAATTCGATTGGAGTAGCCTTGTGTAACACCAGGATTGTTCAATTGTGCTCCTGGAGGGCCAGTTTCCCACAGTTTATCTCCGCAGCCCAGAAGTGACTTTCTAGTGATCCTGGAGACCCTGATAAGCTGGTTTATTTGTATTTATTTGGGCTGGAGCTAAACTCTGTTGGAAGGTGGCCCTGCAGGAGCAGGATTACGCAACCCCTGCTTTAGACTACCAGAATCAGTTATGGCCCACTTCATAATAGGCATGGGCCGATGTAAGATTCTGATTTTTATAATAACCTTGGAAAAAAATATCACTGTTTTGTATTGTGATTACAGCTCTAAAATATATTCTTTTTTAATATCTGGATAAAAAAAAAAGTTTTTCTGCACTGAACACAATATATTTTATTTTGATAAACATTTAAAATATTTTGAAGCAGTAAACATGTCGGGCTAAATAATTCAAATGAATCATTGACTTCTGCTGTCTTCATTTGTTTCAAAAACATTGATTTCTTTACAATTTTAAATGACATTTCGGTATATTTGTTGTCCAAAACAAAACATTGAAAAAAAAAAAAAAAAAAAACGTAGACGTACCTGAGCAACGGTACGGCAGAAAATGTTGGCGGTTTTAAAACCTTGACTTTCCAAACCGCGGTATACTTTAAAAACCACTATCGTCCCGTGCCTACTTTATAACTCATTGTAGTCAAGCCTAATAAAAAAAGCCTTTGTGTAATACACAAAATGATATGACAACATTAAAATCTACAAAGTTCACGTTACAGTGATCATATCCTGATTTCTTGCTCTTAATTGCTCACACCAAATTTGACACCAGAACTGTCATTTTGAGCGTTTTGCAATTTAATAACTTGTTACAATAAAACCCATAATCGCGGCACAGTGGCTCAGTGGTTAGCACTGTCGCTTCACAGCAAGAAGGTCACTGGTTTGAGTCCCGGCTGGACTAGGTGACATTTCTGTTTTGAGTTTGCATGTTCTTCCCGTGTTTGCGTGGGTTTCTTCCAAGTGCTTCGGTTTCCCCCACAGTCCAAAGACATGCATTGAATTCACTAAATTGGCCATAGGGTATGATCTGTGTGTGAATGTGAGAGTGTATGGATGTTTCCCACTACTGGGTTGTGGCTGGAAGGCCATCCACTGCGTAAAACATATGCTGGATAGGTTGGGGATTCCTTTCGCTGTGGCGACCCATGACAAATCAGGGACTAAGCCGAATGAATGAATGAAAACCCATATAACTGTTGTACTCTGACTTTTTTCTAATTGTCCTGAATGGCCACAAAGGTCAAATTGACTACAAGTATTTCAGGATCCACTACTTTTTCCTGTACCTTTGAATATGCGGGCCTCTGCTACCAAGCAATGTTCTACTAACAAAAACAATACTTACCCTTTCAAAAACTATGTTTTCATTAGGATTTAAAAAAGTTGCTCTCCCACTTACAGAACAAAGGCATGTGCGCACCTTTGGTGAAGCCTAGTTACTTGTACCAAAGTCCCTTAAAGGAAAGTCATTTCACTCGGCAGCCATCTTTGAAACGCCTTACTTGCCAAGGTCATGATTAAATTTCATAATAGGAATCACCAATAAAATGTCTTTTAGTTTCATTTCTAAACGTTTGAATCACAAAAAATCTGCAGAAACTCGCGTCTTGTCCGGACCCCTTCCTCGGAGAATCCTCAGTCTATAGCGACTGCTGATTATCTGCTGTACTAGAAGGCGGGGCTTAATTCAACATATTGACCATTACACATTTCCCCATTCAAAATTATACGAGTGACACATCTTGTGTATTCAATAGTCTTTGCTTGTAAACAATTATAGGCTACTGTATATCTTTATTGTAAGGACTTTACAATAAAGTTTACAATTAAGTTTGATGGCAGACATCCAAATCTTATTTCTAAAATCTCAATAGAAGATTCAGTTGTAAATATGACATCAGTTTGGTACGGTCTTACATGGACAGCCAGAATTACTGCTATGGCCATTCTAGTAGTTATAGAATTCTGGTTTGTTTCAGTGTTAATGCCACAATCCCTAGATGCCAAACTCTTGGTAGTCCCCTGATCTCTTGTAAACATGAAACGACGTAACGGTTGATCAGACCACAATGACGTTTATGCTAAAAATGCTTATTTAGCACTTAAATTAGCATGATCATATCAGGGGTAAACAGGGCATGTTGCTTATGGGATTCTGCCTCGCAGAAGAGTCGGATTCATTGCTTTTCAGGTATTCCAATTGATTATATTGATCAGTACTATTTCTGTTTAGCAAAAAAAATCCTTTTGACCTCAGAACCGAGTTACAAACTCTTACAAACACTGTTTGCAAAGACTTAACCGATATCAGGGACAAGTTATGCTATGCTGGACTCTTTTCACTTGTTTGCTTCCTTCAAGTAGTTCTCTATGCTACAGATGTGAGACATTCCTGCCTGACCCGCCCTGTATTTCACTTGCCTAATGAGAACTTCTTTACTGCCCTTATCGTTTTGCCATTTTTGTACCTCGTGACTTTTCTGAGACCTCTCATCTATGTGACCCTTGAAGGTATACAGCGGACACAAGGAAGTGCCCTCTGCTCCTTAGGAACTCTGCGTTTCCTCTGAACGCTTTTGCTGTCCAATTAAGCAATGGTTACTGATGTTTTAACCTTGCCATTTCTTACTAAAACTTTCACTAATAGAAACTTTGCAGTGTTTCAATGGGACTTTGACACATAAAACTGGTGTATTAATTTGATCCGATATTTCCACATCTGTTGTACAGTTAAGCAACTCACTGTTGTGTTCCTTACATTATGATGCTGCTTGATAATCAAAACGGCATTAAACTGATGTAGAATAGTTTGAGAAATGGTTTTCATTGTAAAAGTATTTTGTCATACTGTAACCCACCGGTCCTATTGCACTCAACCCGATTTGAGAACCAGCGATTCTTTGTATGCGAGTTGGTTTCTCTAACAAGGAGGGTAAAGACCATGGCCTATAGCGACTGTCGCAAGAGCACCTTTAAAGGTCGGAGGATTCGAGTTTACCCAGTTTGTTTATAACACCAGAGTTCAATTTCTCTAGCCACACCTTGGCCTGATTACTGCCAGACCGGTTCACTATTAAAAAAATCACTTAAAATCACTTCCTATACCTGCCTGACAAAGTGAAGCAGGTTAAAGGATGCTCAAAAGCTAGACATTATGCTGAAATCCAAAAATAATTCAAAATAAACAAGAAAGATAATTATTGAGATCTACCTGTCTGGAAAAGGTTATAAAAGTAATTTCTTAAGCTTTGAACGGCAGCGAACCACAGTGAGAACCTTCCTAGGAATGGCTAGCCGACCATAATTACCTCAATGGGCAACGAAAACTTATCCAAGAGATCACCAAGACTCCATACCAACATCCAAAGAACTGCAGGCGTTAATTGCTTCAGTTAAGGTGAGTGTTCATGACTCCACTATAAGAAAATGTGTTCATGACTCCACCATAAGAATGGTGAGTGTTCATGACTCCACCATAAGAACGGTGAGGGTTCACGACTCCACCATAAGAACGGTGTGTTCATGACTCCACCATATGAACGGTAAATGTTTATGACCCCACCACATAAGAAAGGTGAATGTTCATGACTCCACCATAAGAAAGGTATGTTCATGACTCCACCATAAGAAAGGTGTGTTCATGACTCCACCATAAGAAAGGTGTGTTCATGACTCCACCATAAGAAAGGTGTTCATGACTCCATTATAAGAAAGGTGAATGTTCATGACTTCACCATAAGAAAGGTGTGTTTATGACTCCATTATAAGAAAGGTGTTCATGACTCCATTATAAGAAAGGTGAATGTTCATGACTCCACCATAAGAAAGGTGCGTTCATGACTCCACCATAGGAAAGGTGAATGTTCATGACTTTACCATAAGAAAGGTGCGTTCATGACTCCACCATAGGAAAGGTGAATGTTCATGACTTTACCATAAAAAAGGTGCGTTCATGACTCCACCATAAGAAAGGTGAGTGTTTATAACTCCACCATAAGAAAGGCCAGTGTTCATGACTCCACCATAAGAAAGGTGAATGTTCCTAACTCCACTATGAGTGGCGATTGTTCATAACTCCACCATAACGTGTGTTCATGACTCCACCATAAGAATGGTGTTCATGACTCCACTATAAGAAAATGACTGAAAATAACAGGATTAAGGAAGCATTAGTTTAGACACCAGAATCAACGCAGAGCTGCAAATTACTGGAGCTAATCTGCATTTTCATCTGTTCATGATTACAAAACTGCCAAATCTGCGGAACATCTACAGCAATAGAAGTGTGAAAGGAACTGTTGAAACACTGCATGTTTTCTAGCTTCTGTGCTGATTCCTAATAATTACATTCTTTAACTGAATTTGATTATTAAATCAGGAATCATGGTCTCAAGCCCAATGATGCTTTTAAAATGACTAAAACTGGATCATTTGTATTCTGTTGTTTTCTTCCACTAGACAACACTTGTCTGCGAGCATGCATCACTATGACCTATCTCTAGATACACAGCCATTTCAAAAGCTTTCAGCAAATCATCTTATTTGTGTTCACTTATTGAAAGACCAACCAGTTATTGAATGCACATTAGGACCAGAACCCCCAGGAACAGTTCCTACGCCCTGGAAACTGTTTGTTGCTTCCTGCTGCTACTGCTGCTGCTGTAAATACAGTATGACTGTGATGGACTGCAAGCTGAGAGTTATGGGTTCATGTGTGTGTTCATATACAGTAAATCCTGTAAGTGTTATAGGATGATCAGAAATGTACTATGTGCAAATCTTCTTTTCAGTATGGGTTTGTGTGTAACATCTGATGTCTTTTGAAGGTGGGGTGGGGGTATTTTTCTTTGTCATCATCAGTTTGAGTGATGTCAGGGCAGTCTGTTGCTACTGGCAACTGCACATGAGTCACATGACACATTGTCTGTGAAGTGCAGCAGTGTGATCTGATGTATTGTGCTGGTTTCTCCTGATGCAGGGAGATGGTACCCTGCAGATGCAGCTTTACCCTGACGAGGGCAAAATCGACAAGAGCTTCTTTCCCTATTATGGCAAGATCTTGCATGTGAGTATCTTACAGCATCATCATCATGTGCAAATATAAGTGGATGCGTGCTGTTTATGTTTTTTTTTTAATGTAATAATTGTGTACAAGGATGCATAATGGAAAATGTTTACTTAAAAACTGAATTTACATTTTAATATGTTAATCTGATTGCCATTTCATAATGAAAATGGACATTTATCTGTCCTCACCCCTCCCCTCGCTTACAGATTTCTTTTGTTTTTCACATTTTGACGCTTCAGATCATCAAACAAATTTAAATGTCAGTCAAAGATAGCACAAGTAAAGAGAAAACTAAATTTAAAACTACACAGGCCGGTGTTAAAGTGTTTGCCCTCTCCCTCTTTTAACTCTTGTTTATCACACCCCAGTTCAATTTTTCCAGCCACAGCCCGGCCTGATCACTGCCACACCTTTTCGCAATCAAGAAACCACTTAAATAGGAGCTGCCTGACAAAGTAAAGTAGACCAAAAGATCCTCAAAGTCTAGACATTATGCAGAGATCCAAGAAATTCTAAAACATAATAATTGAGATCCACTAGTCTGGAAAAGGGTATAAATCATTTCTAAAGCTTTGTGAATGAAGCAAACCCCAGTGAGAGCCGTTATCTATAAATGGGTAAAATATGGAAAATAAAACAACCTTCCTAGGAGTGTCTAGCCGGCCATAATTACTCCACGAGGCAACAATTTATCTAAGAGGTCACAAAGACCCCATAACAACATCCAAAGAACTGCAGGTCTTACCTACCTCACTTAAGGTGGGTGTTCATGACTCCACCATAAGAAGAATGAGTGTTCATGACTCCACCATAAGAAGAATGTGTTCATGACTCCACTATAACAATGGTCAGTGTTCATGACTCCACCATAAGAAGAATGTGTTCATGTCTCCACTATAACAATGGTCAGTGTTCATGACTCCACCACAAGAAAATGTGAGTGTTCATGACTCCACCATAAGAAAATGTGAGTGTTCATGACTCCACCATAAGAAAATGTGAGTGTTCATGACTCCACCATAAGAAAATGTGAGTTCATGACTCCACCATAAGAAAATGTGAGTGTTCATGACCATAAGAGAAAGACTAAAAAAAAAAAATATTTGCAGGGAAGAGATCCATGACTAAAACTTCTGCTCAGCTAAATAACCATAAAAGCTCCTCTCAGTTTTGCCAGAAAAAAATCTTGATGATCCCCGAGAATGTTGGGTAAATAGTCTGTGAATCACGAGAGAACATTTTGAAAGGTGTGTAACACTGCAATTCTGAGTAAAATGCAATGGTTTGTGGTGTTTTGCTGCTTCAGGAACCTGGAAGACTTGTGATAAATGAGTTCTGCTGTGTATCAACTTATCCTGAAGGAACTGTCCAGCTATCTGTTAGTGACCTTAAGATGAAGTAAACTTAGTGTCTGCAGCAGGACAATTATACAAAGTACACTAACAAGTCCTTTTCTGAAGAAAAACAAAATGAAGACTTTGGAGTGGCCTAGTCAAGCTCCTGACCTGAATCCAATTGAAATGCTGTGGCATGACCTTAAACAGGTAGTTGATGCTCATAGAACCCTCCCAATGTGGCGGAATTACAACAATTCTGCAAAGAAAAGTGGGCCAAAATTCCACCTTCTTGATGCTAAGTGAAGCCCAATCAGTTATTAGATTTAGGGGGCACTTTTTATTTTTAGGGGGCCATGTAGTTTTGTCTTTTGGTTTCCCTTAATAATAAAAACCTTAATTTCAAATCTGAATGATGTGTTTACTTGTGTTATCTTTAACTAAATAATTACATTTGTTTGATGAACTGAAACATTAAAATGTGACTAACATGCAAAAAAGATATCAGTAAGGGGGCAAACATTCTTTCATGCCACTGTGCAAATATACAGAACAAGAGTGTGTTACTTTTAATTAAATCAATATTAGATGTAAAATATTAAAATGAACTTAAAATGGTACAGTAGCAGGATAGGCTAATAGAAAGCTAGTTTTGAATGCCCAAGCCCCATGCCCTCTCTGCGTAATCACTCAGCAAAGCCATGCTTCCTCCAAAACACAGAAATATGCATAGGCAGCTTCAAATGTCAACACGAGAGAGAGAGAGAGAGTCAGATTACGGTTTTCTCATGCACATGCCTGTGCCACTTTTAGAAGGAATGGTTGGTGTTGTTGTTCACCTTCCATTTTCACTCCGTTTGCATACTGTAAATGCGATAATGACGTAACCCTTTTGCATGAACCACCTACCCTGCCTTTAATGTACAGTATATTAATTGTTTCAACATTCATACTGTACTGTATTTCTTCAAATTAGTGATTTTAAAAATGCATTTCTTATTGATTGGTTTTGCTCTGATTGCATGATTAACATAAGTAATAACTGACGGCACGCTGTTAAATTATTTGATTATAAAGTAAAGCTGAGGTCGTGATACCAACTGTAATTACCCCATGGGTTTGCTTCATTTTCATTGGACTACTGTTTCGCTACTTATTAGAATTGAGAAAATACTCGTTTATGACCACGTTTTAGTCTTATCACACATTAAAGTGAATTTGATATAAAATCATGATGTACACAACAGTCTCTGAACTTGCTGCATCACATACACCAATATTCGAACATTTTATAAAACAGCATCACTTTCTGGCCATCTGATATTACGCATGCATATATATTAATTGCAGTCATGACTTACGAAAGTATTACATTGTCTTGTATACATTTATTATTACCATTTGATGAGCCTCCCCATACAGTTTAAAATGACGCTTGAATCCAGAAGCATGACGTCACACTTAGACCTAATCCCAATTCTACCCCTTATGCACCCTTCACATAGGGGGGTCACTTTGAATGGGTGACGTCAAGTGTTGCTGAACTGAATTGTGGGCCCTTTGGGGCTGTTTCAGCCGCATTGCTCGCTGCATAAGTTAGCAATCTCAACTTTTCAATGGCCAATGGAAGCGACAGCCAATCAGATTGCTTTATGCAAATAGCCCAGCTCAGACAGTAGCCAATTGCTGACTTATTTCATTGGCTGACACTGCAATGACGATCGCATAAGTCCTAACTTCAGACACGCCCTCTGTCAAGCGTTGACGGTAAAGCCCCGTGTGAATCGGGCGTTAGCTCTTCCCCTTACCTTATTTGAATTGAGAAAATACTCGTTTATGACCACTTTTTAGTCTTATCACACATTAAAGTGAATTTGATATAAAATCATAGTGTACACAACAGTCTCTGGACTCATCACAAACACCAATATTTGAATAATTTATCAATAATGTATCATTTTCTGGCCATCTGATATTGAGCATGGATATATATTGCAATCATGATTTTGGAAAGTATTAAATCGCTTTGTAAAAGTTTATTAATACAGTTTGATAAACCTCCATATACAGTTTAAAAAAAATGGCACTTGAATCCAGAAGTCGCTTTGCATGGCGTCACATTTAGGCCCAATCCCAACTCTACACCTTATGCCCCATTTACACAGGGAGTGAGCATCAACGCTTCCTATTCACTTTGAATAGGTGATGTCAAGCGCTGTTGCTCGCTGCAGAAGTTGGGAATTTCTGAACTTTTCAAATGCTAATAGAAGCGTCAGCCAATCAGATCGCTTTATGCTAATACCCCAGCTCAGGCAGTAGCCGACTTCATTGGCTGATGCTGCTACAAAGATAGCTTCAGTCCTAGCTTCAGACACTCCCTCCATCAAGCGTTGATGCTAAAGCCCCATGTGTATCAGGCGCTAGCCCTTCCCCTTACCCCTCATGTTGCACATTTACATGAGGGGGTAGGGTTGTCCCAATTCTCTTTAGCTTGAAGGCAGTAGTCCCAAAAGCATTCTTTCCTAATAACATACAAAAATAGATTTGGGATTGGGCCTTAACAAGCATTTTCTCATCGTATTTTTCTGCTTTTTGCTTCTCTTCATCAGAAAAACTACGTCCAGCCACTTGTAGCCGTGAAGCTGATGCTGGGAGAGAATGATTATAACATCGAGCACACGGTAGAGTGTAAGGTGGAGGGTTCGGATCTGCTCAACAACGATGAGCGCGACAAGTTCCTGGGCCGCGTCACCTTCCGGATCAATGTGCAGAAATAACCTAATCATTGCAGGAGACGCACGATGTCAGTTCCTCTCACTCAAACCCGTCCCTTTTCATGTCCATCACGTCCATTTTGCCTCATCCCCCATGTGCCGTCCACTGAGATTTAACCAGGCCCCTTTGGCTCATCCAGTTTACACTCGTCCTGGATGAGTGTGTGTGTGTATGAGTGTGAGTGTGTAGTTTAGCGAATACAGACGTTTGCTGGCCCTGTGATTTACAAGTGGGTCAGGGTTGGAAACCTGTGCTCGTGAAGGTTTATGAAGGTTTTAGGACTCATGTCTCATCATGATTCATTCATAGCAGCCGTTTCTCTGAACAACACCCCAATGGAAATTTAAATACAAAGCCACATTGATTCACCACCGCCATAAGAGAGAACCTAGAGTCATCGTGTAGTAAGAATAGGGACCTGTAAATAGATGCATCAACACATCATGTGGATGTGCTCTGCTCTGCTCCCCCATAGTACTGTTTAGCCTGCCATGTGTGTGTGCGTGTGATGTGAAGCCTCTATGTACATATTTAATGGATTTTAAACACTCTTTTTCTCTGTCATTGCTCTCACTTTCGTCTGACTGCTGTAAGAAATCAAGAGTATGAAATTATATAATAGCTGTAATTTAAGATTATTGAGAAATGGGAAAAAATAAAGGGGGGGGGGAAGGGGAAAAACACCAAAAAACGAAAAAAACAAACAAAACAACAACGATCAAACTTAGTTTGAAACCCGTCCACCATCTGAGGGAAGTGATTTTTTTTAAACCTCTGCAGAAACTGTTCTTTGTGCAGATGCCTTACGATCTGTATGAGTTTAAAAATCTTGAAATAAAAGTGATTTTAAACAAAGATTGGGTTTGCGTGTGTCGAGTGTTTTCTTCAGTGAGTCGCTGAGTACAACGTTAAAGGGCTTTAAAGGTTTAATATGTTTTATTTCAAGATTCAGTATGTAAGTTTGACACCCAGTGGTTAAACTAGGTATTGCATGCCTCGTTAAAAGCACACACAAGTGCAGGTTGCCAGATTGATGACACCCAGCAGAAGCGAGCCTGGCGGAGGGTGAGTGAGGTGAGTGAAGATGAGCGAGGCGGGAGTGTCGCGGACAAAAGTGAAGAGGGTTAGGGAGTCGCGGAAGAAATTCAAAGTGAACAGTGGACGGGGAAAGAGAGCAGTGAAGGAGGGGAACCGGTAAAATAAGGTGCCGGATCAGATTTCAGAGGTGCCGGATCCGGCATGTTCTGGCACAAATTAAGCCCTGAGGATTGTCGCAAGTTTAATGATGTACAAAATAGCATGCCTCAATCCGATCTGTCTGTTTACATGATAGTCACATTGTCATATATTCAATTTATATCTGATTTATTTTCACATATAAAGGAGGCCTGAAACTGATCTCTGAATACCCGAATGCATGCGGTTTTTTAGTGTTTACACGGTCATAGAACAGATCCAATTTGTGTCCCATATGAGGAATTGGAAAAATCGGAATTGGGTCACATTTAACTGGCAGTGTAAACAGACCCTTACTGCTGTCTAAACTGTTAGCGGTAGGGACGTGGTTAATATGTTAACCACGATCAGGCGTAATCTGTGAATTTAGCTGAAAACAAACAGAAAATGCAATTTTAGATTACATTTTAACATTTCTTAATGGCATCCACAGATGAATTGTTCACAAAACTAACAATGTGAGCCGTCTTATTTAATATGGTTAGTTTTGATTTCATGTGTAGGCCTACTTTAATATAATTATAACAATGTGGCATTGTCTAAATAAAGGCGGGTGTCAACTGAGAGCCCAGTGATATACTCAAGAGAGTTCAAGTGCTGCTGCAAAGTACACACATTCAATGAAGGAACGAAAACAAATACCTGCACTGTGAAGCACACACTCTGAAACGTGAAGACCAGGGGCTATTTCAGAAATCAAAGGCTGCTTACTGGAAGAACAGGTATGCTGGATTCCAAACCGCGTCTGGGTGTAAGTTCTGTCAACTCCGTGTAGAACTCGCATTCTAAACAGAACACTGATTCCACGAGTCGCCATGAAAACAAAGTGTGCCATAATACTCTCATTTAGCCATGTGCTACACACTTAGTGCGGATAATGCAGCTCAAATGGTGTCTGCGCAGTCATTGAGATATTAAAGTTCATAAACTTTTACAGGTTTGTACTTAGCATACCTGCATTCTGGAACACACCCGACCTCTGTTCCTCGAAAGAATCTCGACGTGCTGAGGTAAACGGTCGATGAAATTCCTGTTCAGTTTTTAAATGTCAACACTATTTTCAGTGAAATGTTGCAGATCTTGTTTGTGCTAACAGCACTTTGCGATATTTGTTTTAGATTTTACTGAAGATATTTGAATTACCGCTTTATTTTCATCTTTGTCTATGCAAAAATGAAGTAATGTTATTCTTAACTTGTATTTTTCAGTTTTGACTAGAATTGCTTCAGGGCTGCGGTAATTATGGCAGGTGCTGTATGTTAACTGGTTGCATCTGTTTTTTAGAGTCAACTAAACTACAAAACTACTTTTCCTTAAAGTATACACTCACCGGCCATTTTATTAGGTACACCTTACTAGTACCAGGTTGGACCCCTTTTGCCTTCACAGCTGCCTTAATCCTTCAACAAGGTACTGGAAATATTCCTTATAGAGATTTTGCTCCATATTGACATGATGGCATCATGCTATTGCTGCAGATTTGTCGGTTGCAAATCCATGATGTGAAACCCCGTTCCACCGTATTCCAAGGAGCTTTATTGGATTGTGATCTGGTGGCTGTGGAGGCCATTTGAGTACAGTGAACTCATTGTCATGTTCAAGTAACCAGTCTGAGATTATTTATGCTTTATGACATGGCGCGTTATCCTGCTGGAAGATTGGTACACTGTGGTCATAAAGGGATGGACATGGTCAGCACCAATACTCGGGTAAGCTGTGGCATTGACACAATGCCACAATGCTCAGTTGGTACTAATATCAAAGTGTGCCAAGGAAATATCGCTCACACCATTACACCACCACCAACAGACTGAACCATTTAGGCAAATTCTGACCCGACCATCTGAATGTCGCAGCAGAAATCGAGACTCATCCGACCAGGCAATGTTTTTCCAATTTTCTATTGCACAATTTTGGTGAGTCTGTGTATTGTAGCCTCAGTTTCCTGTTCCTAACTAACAGGAGTAACACCCGGTGTGGTCTTCTGCTGCTGGTCAGATATATTTTTAACGTTGAAACAATGTTTAACGTTGAACTGTTAAAAACCAGCCTGCATATGACCAGGCTTCAACGTTGAAATACAATGTCAGCTGTTGTTTCAAGGTTGAAACAGTGTTGAAAGATAAATGGTTGAATAAAGTTACAGAAATCCTTACATATAAATCATCAACATTTACATGTTTTTTAAAATCATGATCTATTTGTTGAATCAACGTCATGGCTTTACCCTGAATCCAACAACAACATTCAAATGCACATATGTTGTTTTTAAGAGATAGTTCACCTAAAAATTATCTCTATTTCCTGCTCCTCAACTTGTTCCAACTTATGAGTTTTTTCTTCTTTTAAACACTAAAGAAGATATTTTGAAAAATGTCGGCAACATCTGTGTGTTTTTCTTACTACTGAAGTCATCAGTTACAGGTTTCCAAACATGTTTCAAAATATCTTCATTTGTGTTCAACAGAAAAAAAGAAACTTATAAATGTGTGCATCTTAGAGTTTTTCTCAGTCGCTTTGGTGCGTTTCTCACAACACTAGTGCATTTCTGCACAACAGTTAATGCATTTCTTAAAACAATTAGTACAAACTGCAAAACCTAGCTGATAGCCAGCGAAAGCGCGTCACATGCTCAAAATGGATAGTTCATTCCTCAAAAGCAAGTATTCATGTCAATCAAAGTGTCAGTATCATCAAAATGAAAAGTCCTGACACCATTGTTTATGAACAAGATAGTCAAATGGCTTTGTCATGTTTTCATTATGAGTTTACTCTGGACATTTTTTCAATGCAAAAAAAAAAGTCAGATTTTGGTGACACTTCCTGAAAATACTCAAGACAGCACTGTATACTATTCGCACAGCCATTTGAAAACTACAGTAAAGTTGTACATCACTGCATTTAGTGAGATATCTGAGTACAAGACACTGAATATGTATGTTTCACATGTTTACTGCATTTGCTCTTTACAATCCTAATTTATTCCCAGCATTGTGCAAAAGAATAAACACACCCTTATTTACAACAAACATAAACTCCCTTTGGGTAGAGCTGTGCACAACTGTACACAATATTGCAGTGCACATTGGAACTAAGCCTACAACACACTCAGATCTGTAAATCATTCATCAAATTGTTCAATTTTAAAGACATTTTCAGGAAAATAAAGATTTACATTTGTTTTATAAAATTTTATAAAAGTAGTTCACCATTTTTGTATGTAATGACTCAAGGAATGAAATGAGGACTGTTAGTTTTATATGGAATGACTATTCAGCATTTAAAAGTTTAGTTCATTTTGACTGACATGACAGAAGCAAATGATAATGTTATAAATAGCAGAGTTTTAGGAAAGCAATTGATGCATGTCCAAAAGCATTCACAATTTGTTGAAAGGAATGAGAAACTGCTACTAGGATGTGCACAAATGACTAATTGTTTTGAGAAATGCATGACCTGTTGTGCAAATGTAAATAGTGATGTGAGAAATGCACCAAAGCCACTGAGAAAAACTGTAATTAATTATAAAGATTCCTTAATGCAGTGGTTCTCAAAGTGGGGGTCGTGAGACAATGGGAGGGGGTCGCTTGGTGATTTCCAAAAATGTCATATTTTATTAACCTATTAGAATTATCATATTTTATCAACTATTATATTTTATTTGCGAACCCTGGGGTTATTATGCTAGATTAACCTCACAGCAATAGCGTTAGTTGCAGCAGATTGATTTAGAGGTACAATATTAAACTTTGACACCTTTATGGCACTTAAATACATTAAAAATCAATGCCATGACTGAACAAGGAGGATGATCTCCAAGTGGTCTCCAAAATTAAACCAAGAATACTCTTGTGCTATAAACATTGTGCTCACCATTCTGATGTGATTGTGAGGTTAATGTTAAATTAAAGAAATGAATAATGATTATAAAAAATATATGGTAAGACTGTTGTAATTTTTTGTGCTGCCAATATGTTTATATTGTTCCTATTGGTGTATGTGCACCATAGTGTGCAATATTTGTATGCTTCTAGGGCCAGATGGAATCTGCAGACTTTTTTGTTATTTCTGCTTAGAATTTTGGTAAAAATCTGCAGATTTCTGCTGAATTGTTTTGGGAATATCGGAACTAAAACCTTAATATGTGAATTAAAAAATAATATCTTTTTAACTTTTATTTAATGTTTAAAATGCAAATCCAATTCATTTCACATTATTTGGGTAACAAAGCAAGTCTCTCATGTAATATCTTTACTAAAAGACAGAAAATAATACTGTACAAACTGCGTTGTACATAAATCAGATGAACATTTTCACATCAGTCAATAATATTACTGTAAATAATTTAAAAACAGAAATAAAATATAGATTTACACACATTTACACAAGTTAATAAAAAGAATTAATGATGGGCTAAAAATCTGCGGAAAATCTGTGGAATTCTGCACGTGCAGATTCTGTGTGGGCCTATAAACACCTCCGAGCATAGTGGGGGTCGCAAGTCACTGGAGTTGTTATTTTAGAACTAGCATGCACAAACAATGGCCATAAATTATACACTTGCATTGTTTTTTTTAATAACAAATCTCTCTCTTCATAATTTAATAAAATTTAAAA